CAACTGTACAAGCAAAGTCCTTGGCCCATACCTGTTCTCAAGAACATCCAGGGAGACCCTTGGGGAAAAAATGGAACTGTACTTCCATGAACCTTCTCTCATGCCACTATTTATACAGGTTTGTGAGACAATCCTTCCTGGACCTAAATAATAACTATTTCTCAGGAAAACTATCTTAAACAGACGCCTGCGAGGACAGTCGGTTTGCAGGGTCCAGATCAAGAGATCAAGACCTTGGAATTAATGCAGAAAGCTTCAGAATCGATATCTGATGCAGATATGGTCGATGTTCTCCTGAGAGGGTAATTCATTCTCTATCAGGGTCCCACTCGAACTGACTATCTGATGTAGGGCTGAACAGCATTGGTCTCTTATGCCATTGCATGCATGTCTCTCCCTTGTTCGGCCTGCCTCTTTCATGTATGGCCAAGCATCTAATCCCGGCTGGGGGAATAGCGCATCCTTTCCTCAGTACGTTCTTCCGAAACCAAGCGTTACCTTTCTGATTTGTGTGATAGATGGCTCGGTCAAAATTCTAAACAGAATAAGCTACAGAGGACCTTAGGGGATATCCAGGCTAAAATGCGCATGAAGGTATCTGGCGACAAGACCGAGATACGAAGACAATATATCCCTGCGTTAGCCCCGCAACTGGTTGATCCCTTGGGACAGGGCAAGGTCTTTACTCAATCTCACTTTAAAGTTGAAAGGAATAACTCTTCTTTTAAGGACAATATTCAAAATGTTATCGACATAATGGATGCATATTACCTGAGTCGGGAAGACTGGGACACCATCGTTGAATTAGGGGTTGGCGACCGGAGCGAAACGAGCGTTCTCAAGGGTATCCCAACTGCCACCAAGACTGCATTCACCAGGACGTACGTTGATATTTATCATTCTTTTCAGGCAGCTCACGCATCAGAAAAGCTATAATGGTGCCGACCACCCAATTGCATTCCATAAAGGCACCGATCTTGGAGCTCCAATCAAGAAGATCGCAGCAAAAGATGTTCCGGACGTGGAAGAAGCGTTCGACGTGGGTATTCGTAACAAGTAGATAACTCTTACTGACCAATCGATAGATCGACGACGAAGTACCCGAGGATGAGGAAGATGTCAAACCCAAGGCCAAGGATACTGGAATTAATGATAAACTGGTGAAGGAAGGGAAGGCTAAAGCCACCAAGGACACGAAGGGGAAGTCCACAAGTAAAGAAGCGAAGAAAGTGAAGTAAGGCTTATGAAATTCATCTAACTTCGGTCCATCAATCTTGATATATGACCATGTACACTCTCATTATCATAATTAATCACGTTTGGCGTGAACAGCAGTTCCTGTAAGTACATTGGGAAGTTCTTGACTTCCTACACTATAAAGCAGCGAAATCGAGAATACTATGATTGCAATGATTGCAATTGTTGTACCTGCGACAAGGGT